AGAGGGGCTGGAATGAGTGACAGGCTATTAAAGAATGACTGAATTGCTAAAGTTGTTTTATAACAATGAGTTTTTTAAAAAAGACATGGAGGAAAGATTGGGAAAACAATGAAAATATTCTGATAATATTGATACAAGCATAGACAGGAAAATGCCAAGATTTAATGCATACAGATCAGCATGTCTGGCTGATGGTCATTAGAAGCTGCTGCTTACACTGAGGACTTGTTAGACCCAAGGTACTTTTGAAAAGTTGCCTTAGCCTTTTTCTAAACACTGACATAGATGTCTAAGGCTGGAAATGGAACTGCTGTATGGGGGTTAGAGGCTTAAAAAACCTGGTACTAAGGAGCATCAGATCTATTGATTTTGGGAGAGGCATTAGAGCCTAACAAACCTGCAACTAAAACTCTGTGCAGGACTTGAAAACAGCGTAGCTGAAAACAAATCCTCAAACTTACGAGTAATGGAAGATGAAGAGTACAAATTAACCCTCCAGGGCTCAAGTCCATCATGAGCAAACCCAAAGTTTCCTCATGAACATCCAGTATGCAACCGCATAAGTGCTGAAGAAATTACGGACAACACGCAAGGGAAGTATATGAAAAATACTTGGTTTTCAAATGCACTGATTTCCAGGAGACAAGCTGCCATTCTAGAAACATGGCCTGGCATTCTTTGCATCAAACTCAAAACTTTAAATTTGGCTATATGAAAATACATTTTGTTTGGGTGAGGCTTTGCTTACGGATGTCTCTGATCAACTACCTACTGTTACTGAGAATTTCAGTGCCGGCAACATCACACATGCAGTGTCTCTGATCTGCGTAGTCCCCTCCTTTCCTTGCACTGCTTCTTTGTACAGTGGGTTTGAAAAACTCAGTGTTCATATTAAGAAGTTCTGGTGTTCGGCAGCAGAAAGGTAAGCAGGGTGTTCCTTGAAAAGAATTAGAAACAGAGCGCTGAAGGGAGTGTCTTCCAAGGAACTGAGAGGACTACATCTGCACCATTTAAGCAATATTTAAGGAGGGATATCATAATAGCCTGTAAGGATTACAAGATTGTAAATGTGAATGGGGGATAAGAATTTTATAGGAAAGTCCAAAGGTTGTCAATTAGTATTTTCAAATTAAACAAGGGGAAATTAATCTAAGTAGCTGTATAATCATGCTCTGTGATAGATGTTGGAGTGGAAATTCTTTTTAATTAAAAGTGCTGGAAGGGGAAAGGATCAGTTCGATAAATTTTGTGGTTTGGGAGAAGAAGTTAGAAACTGTTGAATTGAAAACTACCTATTTGTGGCTTGCCATGATTTAAACTTAGAACTTTTAGCTACTTCTAGACTTTTAAAAAGTTTAAAAGAAAGTGATATGTGTTACTCAAAATTATTGAGATTTTGCTTTTTTTTTTAGCTTTAATTTGTAGTGAGAAAATTATTTTCACATCTTAAAAAATGCATTTGCTCTTCATATTTCATAATACTTATGCACCGTTGTTCCTAGTCAATTGTATCCTACTTCCCTGGTGTCTTTTTCACATTCTTATCTGTTTTAGTATGTGATTTGATATGCCTCACTCTGATCTCTTTCAGCCCCCCTTGTTTTTCCCTGATCAGTGTCCTGTGTCATGTACATTTTGCTTTCAGTTTTCATTCATTATAATGACATTTCTTACATTCTGCTTCACTGCACTGTTGAGGACTTGCCACTTCTTTTCCTCACCCTCTCTGTTCTTACTCATGGCAAATGAAATAATTAATCAAAGCAAAAATCCTGCTATAGGTACCTACGAACCCTGCATACAGAATTTGACTACTTCAGCTGTCATTTGGAAAAGTGAGGTTTTGTGGCAACATGGAGACAACTTGGCATTTTTATAATGCTTAAGAGAAAATTGGGCAATTATGTCCTTGGGAAAAGGTATTTCAAGGCAAACTCTCAACCACTGGGGTGGAGGGGTCTGTGGCACATTTCTTTGGCTGAAAATCTGTTGTTTCGCATTTCTGGAGTCACTTGTCATTAAATGAACATACAAGTAGAGTCAAGTTCATCAAACCACACCTGCTTGAATGAAAAATGTAGAAGTAAGCTGTTTTGAGGACAATGTTTTAGATGCTGCTCTCCATCGGAAACGTCCTAGAGAAGGTAAGGGCTCTGATGAATGCCGTGGCAGACAGGTCTACCACCCGTTTCACTGGGGTCAAAGCCTATCTTCTCCTTCTGAACAAGATATTATTGATCCCATCCTCTACTACTTTGTCTATTTTTAACCAGGTTCAATCTCCTAAAACCTCAGTGACTATTAAATCTGTACTCAGGCCGAACATGTTGTCTGGTGGCACAACAGAGCCTTCCTAAAGTCACAGTGCAACGTGGTGAGTGTGGAGAGACCGAGTGAAGAAAAGTGGGTAGTCAGTTTTAAATACCTCCAGTGACATACACCAAAAATCTTCTCCATGACAGGATTTTTTGGATTCTTTTCTCCCAGTATGAAAACAAAAGGTAAGCAAAAAATTAAACCACCACCACAAAGCAAATGTAAATCTGTTGTGAAAACACTTAGTATTTTTCTAGTCAAATAATGAATGATACTATAAAACGATTAGTCTGATACTGTGTTCCAGTTCGTAAATGTCACGACATATTGTTCCATAGCTTCCAAATTTTCTTAGGTGAGATAACAGTTAATTTTCACTTCTTGCATACAAATCCTTGTATTCATTGACCAGAGAAATGAACGTCTTGCCTTAGAGATTGTCTAAATTTTATATACCTGAATGAGTCAACAGCGAAATTTTTTCACATCTGTTTTCTTAGTGTTTTGAAGGGGAAATAATGTTTTTGGATCTCCAAGTCTCTTATGTACTGCAGGTCAGATTCTGCCATGAGAAGCTGTTGGCCTTGGGGAGCTTTATTCTGTGTGTTTTTTGTGGACTTCATGGAATTATTTGTGGCATGACTTGCCACTCACACTCACTGTGAACAAGTACGGGAGCATAAAAACACAAGGTATGTAATAGCTTTTTTACTGAAATAAGCCTCACTTTGGAGTTATATTGTGCCTTACCTGTGTGATATTATTAGCTACCATTGTTCTCCACAGTGCTGCTACAGATCTCGGAGGAACTGTAGGAACTTGACGCCAGATCTTCAAAACAGCACAGCAAGTACTTGCACACATCAATAATGGTCAAATTTTTATATTATCCATGAAGAATATGGAGAGCAGTGGGAATTGTTGATGCCAAATGCATTGAATCTGTGGCCTCATGATTTAAGATACTTATGTGGGAAATGAGCAGTTCTATATTCCTGGTTCATAGTTACTTGCCAGATGACTGCTTTCAGAGAATCAGCAGAAAATATGTATTTTTTTAATAGGTATTGAATGGTAGGTCATTATTTTAGCTTTATAAGGAACTATCTTAGACTTCCACATTGATCTCACTGATTACTACCACACATTGCACAAAATAAGGTCTTTCCCCCATGCACGAGCTGGTAAGAGTCAGCATTTCAAGTATAGGATACATATTCAATGAACACAGCTTAAAAGAATTATTAAGTATTTATTGCTGTTACCAAGCAGCAATACTGAAGCCAGGAAGGCAATCCACAGGATTTCGCTTTCTTTTTTTTTGTTTTTCTCCTCTTCTCCTTTTGCTAATTCCCTTCTGCTGCTGTCCATGTTGTGCACTCCTTAGTGGTGAAACTGTGAGAAACAGAAAACTCTGTGGAGGAAATGCAAAAACTACAGGTAAAACTATGGCTTCTCAGAGCCAGGGGTGAAATTCCCATAGGCTACAAAAGGCCAGAATTTCCTTAAGCTTCAGAAAAATCTCTTTGTTAAGAAATGCCAAGCTGCATATGAAAAAAGGGTAACTGTGGGAGGTAACAGTCCTGAAGACCTAAAAGATTGTGTCAAGTATGTGTGTAATGGAGGAGGAGCTTAAGTCACAAGTTTTTAAGTAGTTTTCAATTTTCTTTTCAGTGTACAGAGCCCTGCCTAGTGAATTCAAGCCTGTTGATAAACAGTTTGTTTTCCTTGTTTACTTTTCACCAGCTGATGAGAAGTTGTCCTTCCACACCCAGGGGCTGTGGACTGAGAACCAGTGCTCTGGAGCTTACAGAGAAAGAAGGACTCCTTTAGAAGGCAATCTAAACCAGGAGCTTTACTCATTAACTTTTGCTGGACTGGTGCCACCCAGAGCAATCCCATGTTCTATTGTCCAGGGTATCTTTTAATGAAGGAAAAAAACCCCCAAAATATCTCCACTGGTGTCTTTTATTAAGTAATGCAAAATACAGTATTAATTATGACACTGCATGCATTTTAGACAATATAAATGCAAGCCTACAGAAAATGTGACAAAGAAACCCTCAATTACTTTTGAGGTAGTATACAAGGAAAAATAGGAAAGCAGAAACACAGTGGATTAAAAGAACAAAATATTAGTATCACTTTGTGCATACATTAGTCACTCATAAATACATTTGTATGAAATAACTTAAGATACAATTCCATTCTTGTTAAAAAATATACTTCTTCAAATTCACCATTCTTGTTTGTTTTGTTTTCACATGACATTTTATGGTATTTCATCAGGTGGATTTATTTTTTATCACCGCCGTCATGATTTTACCCTTTTCCTCCAAGAGTTTAGGCACAGATGGCCTCATGCACAAAAATAAATAAGAAACCTGCTTGAAGGGAAAAGAATTCTGCTCAAATAGCTTAGGATAGTCTAATAAATACCATTTTGTTTATAAAAATATTTCAGGTTTATAAAAGAAGGGAGGGGACACTCTCCCACGTGGAAAGGATGTTAAGTGAAAAGTGCTGTATAACATTTTTGAAGAGATTTTGTTTTAAACATATAGTACCATTATGAATATATATTTTATAATAATCCTGTTTCTTAGAACCTTATTGTTCACTAGAAGTATCAAATGCTGTTTGCTTCCTTTTCTTTGTTGTCTTATTGCCATTTTGGAAGATGCCTAGTTCAGAAGGGTTCCGTATAATTGTGCTTTTGTAAGGCTGTCCTTCCGACTCAAACCAGTGCTCCCAGTCCGTTGAAACTGCTGCTGTTTGCTGTGAATACCCGAATGGCTTCCTTGCTCCATGGAAGACTGGTGGATTTCTGAAGCCTCCATTGAACTCTGATTGAGGGACTCTGCTGAGCTGTTGGGGCTCACGTCCACGTATTCTCTTTTCAATACCGGGCTATTTTCGATGTTTTTGCTACTGCATAACTGGACAGTAATCCTTTCATTTTTTTGGTCTCTTGATTCTTTTGTTTTGTAAGTGGGCAATTTGTCCTGTTTACAGCTCGTGCTGATGTCAATGTTCAGGCCACTGTCTGTTCTCAGGAAGCAAGAATCCACAAGTCTGCTTTGGCAGATATCGTCTCCCTCTGAGCAGCTGTCTGCTTTGTAACTAGCATAGATAGGGCTTGTTCGACTGTCTCCCTTCTTAATAGGGCTGCTGTAGTACTGCTCGGAAAAACTACAGGGCGACAGCCTGCCAGTGTTCCTGTAAGGGTATGCACCAATGTCCTCCACGCTCAATTGCCTCCATCGCGCAGGCAAGTCTTCTTCTGAAAGGTGGGTGCTCCTGCACTCGTTCCTCATTTTCTGGTTTGCTAAAGCCTGCTGTGGTGTTATGGCTGAGAAATGAAAAGGTTCGTTTGCATAAGGAGGCAGAGTCCTAGCAAAAGTGGGTGAGTTCTCGTTGTCATCGGCAAGCTCCATGTGCTGCGCGGGTTTGGACTTGGCAAACCTAGGACTTCCCTGATGCTCGTAACCTGCAGGTGACTTTCTTTCAAACAGTTCGTCTCGGTTGCTCATGTAGATCGCTTGCTGAGAGGCTGTCAGAGTGTTGGCTTGGGCGTTCTCCTTCTCCTCGGATGTGACGCTGAAGCTGGAATAGGAGCTGGAGGTCGGCAGAGAGGTAATGTACTCGGGGAAGGCTTCGTGAGAGAAGCTGGAATGGAAACCGTCTTCTTCGACGGTGCTGTCCGTGGAGTTCTGGGACCGCAGGAACCCCACGTCTTTCACTTGTGTGTCCACACTCTGCCTCCTCTCCCTCCTCCTCTCCTCGGGGCAGTAAAGGGCGGTGTCACTGCAGTAGATGTCCGACTTGTACTGGGGCCTTTGTCCGAGTTTTCCAGCAGAGTCCTGAAAATTGAGATCCCTTGTAGATGGGCTTGACAAGTGTGAAGACAAGCTGTTTGGATCTGGTTTTTCCAGTACTTTGGCAATGACGCAAGTGGGTATGGTATCAGCGTAAGACGTGTGGCACAAGGGGACAGAAAGGCTGCAGCCGTGTTTTTCCAGGTGGATGCTGACTCTTTCCTGAAAGTCAGATGGCAACTGTAACGTAAAGAGATGGCAAAGGGGACAGGAGAAAAGGGTGCACGTCAATACCGGCGTCTGCCTGGGTTTATACAACATTGTTAGATGAGCGCTGTTTATGGCACTGCATGGCTCACTGTATATTGTTCTTTGACTAATGTGATGGCCACAATCTTTGTGCATTTCTGAAAACAAACAAAATCAAATGACTTTCATTTATTAAAATTTGGAAATCTTAATTTGCTTCCCCTCATGGAAAACACTGTGAAACTGAAATGTTTCCCTCCAAGTTAATTCAGGTTGGATAGGAATGATGTAAAGAATGTAGTAAACAATGATCTTAAAAAGGCAGGTAGGGAACTACAGCCTGCAGCAACACTTTCCAGACTGCGTGCACGGGTGCGATTTGCAGTTGGAGTGGGGGGGGCCGGAGGGCTCTGCTGGGGTGAGGAAAGAGGAGGAAAAGATCAGATCTACTCTGTTCTTCTTTTGCCTTTCTTCGCGCTCATCTTGCCTCCAACCCTTTGCCAAATTGGCTCCTGCCCTTCAGCGTCGCATTTGATAAACAATGCTGTTTGAAGAGGCAAGAAAGTTGGTTTCACTGACCCTTAAAGCACTGGTACTGGCTGCTATGACAGGAGTGTTCCTGTGCTGGGAAGAAGCAAATCAATCCGGCTACCTTGTCCCAGCACTCGGACATTGCTTGTCAGATCAACCGTCCATATAAGCCTCAACGTGCTCCCCTCTTCCAGCAGCAGCTACCTGACTGCTTTTCTGGTTTCTTACTACACTGGCAGAAATAAGACCTAAGACCTGAATTTCCGTTATGATTCCTGTGACAGACTAGTCAGAATTAAACAATATGTCCATTATACATCAGAGATCATACAGTTTTTGGAGAAGTCAGGATCAGCTCTGTGGATGGTGGTTCCACCTGCCATTCTATCACGTAGACCAGAAGAGACTGAGAGCCTGCATTCCTTGGTGAAGTAGGTAATGCCCACACAGGTATCACCACGCATGCGTGCCAGTCAGGTTTTACCTCCATTGCTTATTTCAGATCTCTATCAATGATCAGACAAGGGATATGAGAGAGTGCTGCATGATGGTTGTCTCTCAGTATTTCTTACTGGAAATCAAAAGAACTCATGTTCGGACTAAGTTTTAAGTTTGTGACTGTGATAGCTTCTTTGATATCCATGTTGATTTTCACCACTTAAGAATTTAGCCCCTGAATGCATGGCTGAACTCTGATTTACTCAGCACTTTCTTTCTATAACTAGAAATCAAGTTCCTCTTTACCACATAATCAGTGGTTATCCTTATAGCTTATAACTAGAAATCAAGTTCCTCTACCACATAATCAGTGGTTATCCTTATAGCCCTATCGATCGCACTCCCTCCTTGACTTTGTTTCTCTAGAGGAGAGAACCCTACAAATACTGAAGTGGTTCCCTCCCTCCTCTATTTTAGGCAAGAGAAATTTAAGGTGCCTACTCCTTGAAATGATCTCACATCGTATAAGATATGGAGCTCCTCTTTTAGCTTCACTGGGAAGTTTTAAAAGTTGGTTTAATCCCCCAAACTCAATGTATTCAAAATATGGCATGTTGTGAAATGGCATTCTTGTTAATGTGGAGTAGGATGAGTGTTTTTTCAACCAACAGACCTTCAAGGATATTTTGGACTAATCATTATGTTGTTAATTAGCTCATATATCTTCCATTGGAAATAAAGAGTATGATATTGCCAATCTCCTGGCAGACAGCAATATTAGTCATAGTAAGTACAGATGCAACAAAGATTGAATAAACAGATTGTAAAATAGGGCTGTAAATTGCCACAGAAATGAGGAAAAGAGATACAGTTCATTTAACATGAAACTGCTGTATGGGGCAACTATTATTTTAGTATCCTGTAACACCACTGTTTGATCTATTTTATATACATTATTTAGATTATGAAATGCGTTAAGAAAAAGACCCTTATTTTCTGGGCATTGCACTGGAAACTGGAATTACTGAAATGATATTTTCACATTACTATATTGTATTATAGTTTAGGCTTCAGGATAATATACAATACTTTGTCAGGCAATATTTGCATTTGTAAGGAATTTATTGGCTGTGACAGCATATTCACACTTGCTAAATTAATAAATGCTTGGACTTATGAGTTGAGACTTTGCCTATTTAATTGAATGTATGACAGACTGGGAAATTGTGGGGAGATACCACGTTTGTGATAGTTTTCTGCAAGTGAATGTACTAAGTACTTTTAAGGTCTTAATTCTTGCTAACAGGTAGGGTGCTTTCAAGGGTGAGTAATGATAACTCCTGGATATGAATTGCGAAGGGAAGTCAGTTACTAGGAAAAAATAACAGGATGACGATAATGGTTAATTTGGAAGTTCTGTCTCAGTTCCAGAAAATCGTTGCCCATTTGACGGAATAGTCTTGCTCTATCCTTATTTACCAGGGTTGTTTAGTGCTCCGAAGCAGTCTACTTGCTTAGAAATCGTTTACACCATTTTGCATTATTCCGTCACAGAATTGCACAAGAGAGACCATTTGGGGGTACATTCACCTGATGGGATTGATGAAGGGAAGTCTTTCCTCCGTGACCTTCACTGAAGCAATACACATAAGGAAGGTGCTATAGCTTTGTGTAGGGCCTGCATCCCTAAAGACAGCCTTGTTCACTAAGACAATATTTGCCTCCCCTTTAAGGAGTCTGTTTCTCAAGCCTAGTTTCCTTGGAAGCGAAGATTATTAATTCAAGTTTACACCTTGGAAATCAATCATTCAGTGGTCTGGTTGCTTTAGAAAAAGATATTTGTTCTGTCAGTCCATTTTAAAATTCAGGTTTAGAGATTAGCTGGACTGGAAAATAGCTTCAGGAGGAAAATTAATTCCATCAGAATCTCTGATGCCTGCAGCTTGTCATTTCCCTGCTCTCACCCCTCCCCGTGCCCCCCCAGCATTTTGCAGTCTAGAGTTCTCAGCACTTTGGTTTTGCTAAAACCTTTATTTTTCATGTGACCAGCGCAGGCCCATTCTACCGGATAGCAGAGGTTTTGGGGAAGAGAGTACCTCCGAGTTCCATCACTGGCTGTGATTCTGTCAGCACCTCCCCAGCTGCACAGCACCCCAGCAGGTGCACAAGCCCTCCTGTTGCTTAAAGGGGTGGCGGAGGGAGGGAAATCAAAGCCTCAAGGGCAAACAAATTTTGGAATTGATACATTTAAATAACCTGTTTTCCATAAAATATTTATTTCTTTGAATATTCACCAAGTTCGGTCACATTACCTCAGAAAGCTTATGTGCCCTGTCGTAATTCTTGCTGCACTGGAGCAACTGAGCAGCTAAATTGCAGTCCTTCCTATAGAGCTCCTAGAAAAACAAAAAATAGCCTGTTTTTTAAGGTTTGCAAATAACTTGTGGCTTTAAACCTTTCTCCCATGCCTAAGCAATCTTTTAAAAATTGACTTGGGGGAAATCTGGAGCATACTTTAACTTTTAAATACATTAAGATTCCGTGTTTCTTGCACGGTCCTGAGATGTTTGCCCTTTTGCTCCGTGGGGGCTGATAAAATTACTAAAAAGAAAATTTTGAGAACTGTTACTACAGAACAGTAATCTGCATTTCAAAAAATGGATACTTACCGTTTGGAACTAGACTTTATACTGTTAACACTATGAAGGCTAAAATAAACACAATCTTTTAAGCAAAAAGAAAATTTAAGAGCAGACAATTTTTACCATTATCCAGATCAGCACTAAGATACTACTTCAGAAAATGCTTAAATAATCTTATGAGACTGTGGGAGAAATTCATTGCAGAAATATACGTTGAATTGTTTTTTAAAAAGAAGGCCTTTGTCTCCTTATGAAATTTTCCTGGTGGTTTCTGGCTCCTTTCATGTCTTGCAGAACGTAGCTATACAAATATATTAAATCTCACTGCAAATGTTTGAAGCTGCAGACAAGATATTTTTATTGGGTAAGAAATTACCATGAGAATTCCACACAGGGAAAAAGAGAATTTAAATAAGCTGCTTATATTGTTTTTGTATTGAATGGCTCCCACAGCCTATTTAATGGGAAAATTCAGTACACAGATTTGCCCTTCATCTAAATTTAATTTAGCACACACGACTGTAACTGTATCCTTCAACCAGTTCTTCGGGTCCCTGGAGGCAAGAGTTGTGCGTTGCTTCTCCTGATCTAGGCGCCATTAAAAACAAAGTTGGTTTCAGAAGTTGACTTTATAGATGGGCATAGATGACAGAGACAAAGCATAAAGGTACTATGGACACTAGGCTGTGTTAACTTGTAAAAATTAGAAAATGTTTATAGCAAAAAGGTGTTGAATACTGAAATGATTTGAATTTTCTCTGGCGTTAATGTTACAATTTCATTGCATGCAGATTTTTACTCTTCCACTTGTTCTTTTAAAAACTGATAAAGAAATTTTCTATGAAAAGAAAAGGTGGAAATTCCCTCTGTTTTGAAATACTATTTTAAAGATATTCTGTAATAAAAGGTGCAACAAATTGTTCCTGGGAGTCTGTGAGGCATGTAAAGGTAGTTTTCCTATGATCATCAGTTCATTATATCTTCATATTCAAGGGCCTTTAGATACTCTTGGTTTGCAGGTTTTTTTGTGTCTGTATGAGCTTTTATAGATGCCACTTCTGCCTTAAATGTACTGGGGAGATACATTCATTTAAGTAGGTCTTAAATTTTATACTAGTACACACTATTTTTATTCCTGAAAATAGATGCAAACAGTAGGAATCCAAGAATTCAATTTAGAAGCAAAATCTGTTGCATGTGCATGTGATTCTGACATGTTACATGCAGTTCTGACATGTTACATGCACATTAAACACACAATATATTGCTGCACAATGTATAGCACAGCCAAGTACTCCAAGTCCCATATGGCATTACTAGGTACACAAAAATGAAATCACTCCAAAATCTAATCTTTTCTTCAAAAGCTTTGTGCCTCTATTTCTGTGAAGCGGTTGTCATGGAGAGTACAAAAAGCATTTCTGACACTTTATTTTTAGCAGCTTTAAAAATTACTACAGAAAAATTACATGAGTTAAATGTGCCAAGTGTACTTTGTTCTCAACATGCTGGGACATGCCATGCGACTGGAGTGACTTTCTATCCTTTAATGTTTATCTGAATGGAAACTAGCCACACCTGTGGCAACTAGAACAATAATTGGCAATTAATGCCAAAAGAGTTTCCATAGTCTAAAACATGTTTTTGCATCAAAAGCATCACTTTACATACCTGTCAGAAGCGTAAGGGGAAATAAAATCGAAGGAAGAAATACTGGCAAGAAAAAACATGTTCTCCCCATGTAGGATTCTTCAGTTTAACACTGTCTGTACTTATTAGGTATAATATTAATGGTTTGCTTCATAGTTCTTTATTTTAAAATTTGGAATTTAACCTTTACTTTCATTAGTGATGCTACATAACCAAGGGCAGAATTTTGTGAATCGACCTCAAGTATGAAGAAGTGGTACTGTTATTTGAGGTTTCTGGACCATACTCTAATGTTCAGAGTAGTTCAGGATAATTCTTGGAAGAAGAGTACTCGGTACTCCAGTCCAGTCTAAGCTGCCTTTTAAAAGCTATGAATATTGAAAACACCTCTTCAAATGTGGGCTCAAACCTGACTCCATGAAGTACTATAAATGCATGCATACTTATTGGGAGGGTTTTACATTTTCCCCCCCTCCCCCCCCATTTTAAATCTGAAACGGCTCCATTGATTTCAGCTGAATTAGTCTGGATGTATACCCGTGCTTGTAAAACCTAAATGTAGCCCACTGCATTTACCAGGTTCTGTTAGTTAGAGCTATTACAATTATGAAGTAACTGTTGTTTCAACACAATTTCTGTAAAAGTGAAGGGTCAGATTGTGAACTCTTTGTTTCCGTTGGAAAGCTATTAGTTGCATAGGCACAATTCACATCAACAGGAATATTGATGGGATCAAATGCCCCCTGTTATGATTAAGAGGTCGTATGAAATATGGGAAGATTGAATGTAAGATGCTGAAAAATAAGTGCTAACAGAAACATGTCTTCTGTAGATGAATTTTTTATTAAGTGTCTAAGGAATGGCACAATAATGAACTAAATGCCTGCAATCTTTCTTTCTTTGCTGTCTTTTTAGGTTTGTCCCTGGAAGGATTTCATGAGCTTGGTTGCCAGCTGCAGTACGCATGCCAGTTTTCAGCAGTGTTTAATGAGATGCAGGGTGACAATCGCCGGAGATGTTCCCTGCTTCATTCCACACAGAGATAGGTAAATTGTTACACATGAACCACAGCTGGGGAAAACCTGGCTCCCGCTCCCTGCAACGATCTGAGCGACCAGGTTGGGTCAATCCTACCTTCTGCTAGCAGAGCTCACTTGTGCCGGGCATCCCATTTCAGTGAGCAAAGACTGAAAGTTCAGAGGAACTGTAGGAAATGTAGGGCTCTACACTGTGCCTAAAATCCTTATGATGAATCCTCACTCCATAAATGCTTCCACCAGTTTGCTGTACTAGACTGAAACTGATGGCAAAATCAATGTAGGAATATTGTCATTTCTTAGAATATTATTTTAGTCAGTTTTAGGTTAGACAAAAGGGAAAAGATATCAATGAAAAGTCTCACCCCAACCCCATAGCTTAAGGAGAGCTGAATTTATGAAATGATGGGAACATCAAACATGAATTTTAACTGTTGAGGTCACAAGTTACATTTTATGTAAAAAATAAGAAATTATTCTATAATTCCATGGGAATTGCATGGTGTAATTTATTTCCGAATATAATCTCAAGATGTATCCATAATTAAATACTTACATTGTCTTCTGACAACTTATCTATTGTCACCTTGGCCTCTATTAAGTGATTATTGAGTGCAATTATTTCATGGCTCAATGCCCGTTTTTCCTCTTCATAATGTTGACCCTGTGTAGAAAATGGAGTAGTCAGTACTTTTTCTACTGTCAAAATATTTCAGAAAAAGGCCCAAAGATTGATGTCATTCTCAAATCCAGGGAAAAACACAACAGACCAATATTTCTTTGTGTTTTTTTTCTTTTTCTATTTTTTGCTATTTTCACTCAGGCAATGATGATGAGATGTACTCATCAGGTGAGACAATGTACTTTGAAAATATGGAGGTCAAATTGAGCTCACATTAGGAACCTTCAGAAAAGGGTCTAGCTAGCCTGTGTAAAAGCATTTAATTGAGCACCAGCTGTTCCTTCTTCGTCACAAGGCAGGGTTTCTAACCTGGAGGGGACTTGGGCTGCTCTTGGCTTTTGCTACAAGAATGTTTCACTTATGCTATTAGCTCCCTTCTCATCAGGGAGGAAGAACAATATTTAAAAAGGAAAGTAGCTGTGTTTGAGCCAATTTCTTTTTAGCTATTGACTGTGCTGGCTGCTTTAAAAGCCCTGAATGAGGTTGTTCATTTCTCAGGATGAATGTTTGCCTGGTTGTGGGGTTAACAATCATTAGCAGAATGTGACCCACTGTGGGATAACAGGAAAACAGTCTGATTCAAACTCTTGGTGCCCACTAATTTAATCTTGTTACCAGTAGGCTGTAACTCTTTATTATAAATGCAAACAAATCAACGGGAAAAGGAAAGTGCCACTGGCCCTTCCCGTACTGTGTCCCATTTTCATATTGCAATGTTTATTGTGCCACCTCATATATAAAAAATTATTTTGTAGCGATCATTTATAATCCTGAATGCTCCAGCTGAGATCAAGGCACCTTCCTTGTGCTCAGAGCTGTACAAGACCATGATAACAAGAAGGTTTGCCAATTATCTGGAGGGATCTTTTAGAAAGCAGCGTTGCAATAAGAACAGAAAGTAGGGTAAACTTTAATGTACATCTATTTTGTTTAGTGAACTCAATCCAGTGACAAATTCACAATCTCCCTTCCCATTCTAAAATTGTTAGAGTAATTTGTGAAGGACTTTCTCCAGCAGGATGATTGTATTAGCTACTGAAATTTCCCAAATGCCATATTGCCAGGGTCACATAAAAATCTTCCATCAACACACACTCGACATTGTCAGCTAATTGACAGCAATGGGAGTTGTGTGTTTTGAAATCTGAATGAATACCAAGGTTAATTATCCAGCTGCAAATCACCAGGCTATATTAAAGAAGGATGATTAAATTGGAAGTGGCAACTCTCACCCTAAGTTACTATTTAAAGAAAAACACCTTCTCAAATGGTCTAAGTAAACCCATGGCTTGCTTTAAACAGCGCAGATATGGTTGAAGTGTCTTGTGAAGGTCTGGACTGCCCTGTTTTAACGTCAGCTTTTCTACAGACCGCCTGTTCTCCACTGTTGCAAGACCTCTGTCCTGACAGCCCAGCTGTGCCTTGTTCAGGCCTGACACCTCTCCTGTCCTCCTTCCCATTGATCAGGTGCTCCTGCTAGCTGCCTGGGGACTATATCATGGAAAGCCAAAGCATAGCGTTGAGAGCTTGCAAGAGCTCCAACCTTATTGATTTTAACAAGACACATGATCTTAGGGGCTGTGTTTTTTAATTAGGCAGATCGACGTGATTTTATATGAGGCCGTTAACTCAATGATTTTATTGTGAACTGAACAACTAGGCACTTTGGAAACCTCTTGGACATCTGTGCACCTCTAGAAATCTGTCTCCTTTGGGAGTATGACTAAAGATTACATTTTCAAAGGTATTTAGCTACATAATGATGTAGACAAGTGACTACCTAAGTACCTGGGAAAAATATGTCCCCTCAATTTTCCAAGTCATTTCATGCCTTTGAAGGATCCAGGTCCACTGAGTACAGACTTAATCTTCCAAATAACCATTTGTATTGAAGATTTTATCAATCCTTGTATGACAAGTTGCCAATGCCAGGGCAGCTGATTTGCAGGACCCCCGTTTGCTCTAAGTCTCTCTGATTTCAGTAAGTGTTGCTCTTGCCTTACCAAATTGAACTTGACTCAATATATTTCACAGTTCAGGAAAGATCGTCTGATCAAGGATTTATAGTCTTCAGCAGAGAGAAACTCATAAAAAGGCAGAAGATTCAGGCTTTGGAAGCAGTACTTTCCATTGCATTGAGTAATGCTGAATCTGACTGAATTATGGTTTCATTTTATTTCAGTTATGATAACTTTTGGGCTAATGTTTTCCAGACTTTGTATCTGACCAAGTGCGACTTTAAAAAATATTTTATATTTGTTGAACTGTAAAATTCGCTTCAGTCCAAATTTATAATATACAGGTCAGCAGATAGACACCAAAGTAATAAACATCTCAGCAGTGCTGTGGAGGAGGGGGAATGAGAAAGAAAGGCCAGTACCAGTTCTCTCCTCCAGTATACGTTCGCATTTTTCTCTTGAAATCCATGTTGTTGACATGAGCAAAGAGTCTGTCTCGCTGTGGCAAAATGAGGTAGCCTAAGAGTGAATAGGACCCTGAAAGGCTTTGGCATATTGACGACATACTGTGTGTCCGTCTTTGAAAGTTCAGGGCTTCAGGCAGATGTTATTGTGGTCCAGTAGTGGCAACAAGAGGACAGAGATTTAAACCTGACACCACCTTGGGGAAAATGGTGCAGCTGGAAGACGAGGTATCATAGTGCTGGATCACTGCATTAAAAGGATTGCTGGTTACTGGGGACTGCAACTTTGAACTCGCCAGTTGCAGTCGGACAATCATATTTTCAGCATCAGGTATAGATGCCAGAGGGATGAAAGGAGGACAGGAATCATGATATCAATGCTATGGTTGTGAGTTACAAATAGAAATGTTTATTTTACTTATAATCACTTTTTGCAGATCCCTCTATTTCTGGTAGCTTTTAGATGCTTCCATAAGCCTTGGTGACCTCTCCTCTCTCCTTTTGGCACTGCTTTCTGCTCTGCAGGTGTTAACAACCTCTCTCTCAAAACTCAGTAACAGATTAAATTAATGGTGTTATTGATATGCCAATAGCTTGCAGCTGGGCTGATGTTCCTGAAGTCCACTCCAAAATGCTGTAGCTATAGGCTGCAACGGGCTGAGCTTCTGGTGGATTTTTGTTCAGAAATCTTGTTGAGTCAGCTCAGTGCATCTTGCCCCTGCCTCCTCCCCCAGCACAGAGCCAGCATAAAAGAATACAGCTCCATAGCGTCTGACTAACGTGAGAACTGCAATCATGTGCCCGCGTCTGAGTCAGATCAAATTCATCTAGTCCCTGCATCTGTTGTCTGTGGTGTAAGTGGGGTGAAAAGAGTTTTGGTAGGTTGATACAGCATGAAATAATTAATAGACAAGTGTATTTTAGAAAGTAACAAAAGCTGGATGATAATATCTGCTTTTCTTGCGTATTAGTGGATACACAAAGGTTCCTACTCTAGTCCTTCAGCAGAAATGGAGCAGCCTAAAAGTTGGCTGTCTCTCTGGTAATGTTTCAGTCTCCCTTCAATGCTTTCCAGCAGCGGGAGAGTGTCCTACCATAAAGCAGTGTCAGCCTATTAGTCAAGGCTAGGCTGCATACTCTTGTCTCTGCTGTCCTGCGGGAGCTTTGAGATGTGTATAGACCTTTTGAAATCAGTCTCAATTTTGCAAATGAGCACTGCTGGTCTGTGGAAATGTCAGCCTTTTCAAACATGGCAAAGTAAATCTTTGTTCTTCGTGTTCCTGTAAGGAACATTCCAATGGATAGCAGTTCAATGCTATTGTGAGAATAATATAGTGGTAGTAGTGACCATCAAGGTATTAGTGGCCAGCAGCATTCCTTTAGAAATACCTCTTAATAAGTAATGCCTGAATGACAGACAGAAAGAGGGAGACTTGTTCTGTTACAAATACCACCAAAGTGGCACTGGTATCCCATCCTGAATGCCTGGACAGAGGTTTACTGCAATGTTTTTGGATGTGGAACAGGCAGAACTTTGTTTCCTTTTTTCTTTACTACTGTGCTTGTCCAGGAGGAAGACAGCACTTCCACAGGAGAAATTCCCCACCTTTTTGGATCACTGTAACACAGTTAACTCAGTACTTTTCTCACAGAGCACCGGTCTTGATCTTTTCATTGCAAATATTAGTAGGTGCTGTAAGGTATCTGCTAAGCAAGTGCAATGTATTTACTGCTGTTCTGTGGATCGTAGTTGGCGAGCAAGTGCTTGTAGTGGTACACTTTCAAAACAAGGTCTGTGTATTTTAAGGCGGTATTTTATAATCTCATTGAAATCATCTTATGAAGGACAAAACAGAGCAGTTGCAGATGACACAAAAAAGGGAGGAATGGCTGGTACACCAGAGGTACACTGTGCTGCCATCCAGAGGGACCTCGACAGGCTGGAGAAATGGGCTGACAGGAACCTCATGAAGTTCAACAAGGGGAAGTGCAAAGTCCTGCACCTGAGGAGGAACAACCCCATGCACCAATATGTGCTGGGGGCCACCCAGCTGGAAAGCAGCTTTGCAGAAAAGAACCTGGAGGACTGGTGGACACCAGGTTGAACACGAGCCAGCAATATGTGCCCTTGCTGCAAAGAAGTCCAAAAGTAACCAAGGCTGCATTAGGAGAAGTGTTGCCAGCAAGTCGAGGGAAGTGATCCTTCCCCTCTACTCAGCACTGGTGTGGCCATACCTGGAGCATTGTGTCCAGTTCAGGCTCCTCGGTACAAGATGAATATGGACATACTGAAGAGAGAGTCCAAGAAATGGCCAGGAAGATGATTAAGGGATTGGAGCATCTTTTATGAGGAAAGGCTGAAAGATGGGAATGTTTAGCTTAGAGAAGACATGGCTCAGGTGGGATCTCATCAATGTGTATAAATATCTGAAGGGAGGGTGCAAAGAAGACAGAGCCAGGCTCTTTTCAGTGGTGCTCAGTGACAGGATAAGAGGCAATGGGCACAAACTGAAACACAAGCATTTTGAACATCAGGAAGCACTTTTACTGTGAGGGTGAC